CCCCCCCAGCCCCCCCGCCACAACCGGGGCAGAGGGCTGCAGGAGCGGGACCCTTTCAGAGAGATAGCGCTACGGGTTTTAAATACTTCTGCCCCAGTTTGTGCTATCACTGTGGTTTGTTTATTTTTAATGGCCACGAGTGTTTAGGAACTGCCCATTCAGGGCGATTACTTCATTTCCCGCTTTGAGGTCTGGCCCCTTTGTCACAAGCTATCTGTCCATACCTGGAAGAACAGGGAAAAATAAAGGGAAGAATGGACTCCGTTTCCAAAACAGTTTTTATTCGCCAACAACAGTAAAGGGCAAGGGATGACCAAATGTTCAGATCAATTTCCTCTTGTGAAACCTTTGAGAAAACACACTCCAAATCATCTACATGAGTAAATCTTTGGGCCTTTCGGCCTGTACCACCTCAGACATGGAGCCTGGTTCCAGTTTATTGCTGAACCCATTGATCTGTGTACAGTCCATTTATCATTCATGAAAAGAGCCAGTGATCTTCACAGTATATTAGAAGAAACAACTCAGATCATCTGTCAACGGCCCTCTTATTTCTGTTTCCCTCTCCACGGGGATTTCATCTCCTTCGATTCTTCTTGAATTAAAATGTTGCTAAGCAACACAGCTGGGGGCACCGATGGCAGAGCTGCGCCAGTCTATCACACTGGTTAAGCTGCTCGAGATTTTAGTGGAGATTTTTTTTTTAATGCTTCTGTGGCATAATTATGTAATCTGAACCAACCTTGCATCCCCCTTCTGATTTTTTTCAGAATAGGTAAATAACGTTTTAATGCAAGAGGGCTTGAAATATCACCTTCAGATAAACTAGTGTTGTCTTATCATTTCAGAGAATTCCTCCTAGCGTTTGCAGAACCAGACTGTAATAGATTTAAATGTGGAAAGCGGTCAGATGGTTAGTGAGATTACAAGCACGGATAGTGGTGAAAGGCAGAATTAAGACAACTGATCCATAAACCTATTATAGTAAGGAAAGTTTTAGTGCTTAATTACCTTCAGAAATATTTTTATAAAGCCTACCAAAATTGAAGAGAAGGGTTTTGGTGAGGAACTTTAACCTCTGCTATGCTTAGGGATGGGGATAAAATGGTTCCCACGCAGGAACTGCTAATACTAGTGGTCCTGAAAAATGCTCACATAAGCCCTTGAGGAATTAAAACCTTTATGAAAACTGACTAACTTTAGAAACCTCTGGGACCTGCACAACTGGGTTCCAAATTTTGCCAGAATGAGTTTTCCTTTGGGCTCTACAATGGGGCTAGTATCTCAAAATACCTGCTGTTCTGGCACTTTTGCCTCCAATCATAGCAAAGAGAAAATCTGTGTTTAAATCCATGGAAATCCCTAATAAGGAGTTCAAAATTTGGGAGAAAGAATTAAAGCTTGTGAGAGCTGAGACAGGGGAACAGCAATCCTCTGGGCTGGCTCCCAGCGTGCGAAGAAAAATGTGTTTGTATCATTTGGATTATATTTTCCATCTAAAGAATAAATCAATGAATGCATGATGGGAAACAATCATATTAATTGTACAGTAGGGTTGCTAAATAAAACACTTAAACCTCAGGAAATGCTACACTTAAGATTGCACAAGTAAGTGTTACAGACCCAAACCTAATTATGTCCTCTCAAACAAGCCTATGATGAAATGGGGTCCCTGCCTCATTAGTGAGATAATGTGAGTTGTGCCTCTTCCCAGTGATACTCTCCCAAATCTCCCTTTTTCAGCTGCCACGTGCAACTACAGAGTCAGAAGCATGTTATTAAGAAATCTTTCTGAGTAATAAACTACATGTAACAACACACAAATGCTTCATTTAAAATGGATTAAAACACCATCAGAAATGGCATTTCAGTTTCCCAAGCCTCCCACTAAATGCCAAGTTTCAGTCCCATCCTGCAGGTAACTAAAATTATTTTTAAAGCTCATAAACAGCCTTCCACAATGGCAGAAGTTTTTTTGACTGTACAGTGGTATTTTGCTTGACCCTTCTATACACCAAATAGCTGGACTATAACGATTCTGAGTTCAAGCATGTGAAACGTGCATCTAAATCAGTTCTTTTTCCCCTGAATTATTCAAAAATCACTACACAAAACCTGATATCAAAATACAGATAAAGAAGAGAAAACAGAAGAGTGGAGAGCGTCTAGGATCACAAGTAAATAATAATGCAGTTGGTTCTACTACAAAGTAAAGCGGAAGATATTCTGGAGAGCATGTGCGTGATCGTGTGAGCTAAACTGTTTACATGAAAGATTAAAGAAGATGAAGATATTTCAGGGAGTGAGAACTGGCAATGTCAAAGTCATAGAATATTAAAGAGCAGAGTCTAAACTGGATGTTTGATTTTTGACTGCTTAGCTACGTTGATGGCAACTGTTCACCCTGAAAGAAATGTGGTAGCTTTAGGAAGAAAGATTTATAGATATATTTTATTTTCTTGGACCATGACATTCTAGCACATATCTTCCTTAGTTTTTTGCATGGAGAATTTCCATATTTTTTTCCCTTTGTTACTGGGAGAAGGCACTTTCCTAACTCTTAAGAAAAGGCACAAGCTGGAGGGACAGCGTCCTTCACACACATGCTCACTCATACAGAGTTTTAACCAAATACTTCAAATGCTCAGGTTAATCCACATGCCAGCCTAGTTTAATGATGGATGACCAAGCAACTGGTCATTTCCTATTACAAATGATTCAGTTTGCCTCTGAGTGGGACCATGGTGATGTTAAACACGGCACAGAATACATGTCAGGGACTCCGTCTGAGAAAGAAATGCTGGATCTGGCCTTCTGCTTTTGTTTGTCTTGTAGGTGTTGCTCATTCATTTTTCAAAGCGTATTTGTTGCAATATCATGAGCATGCCCAGTGGCAGAAGATAAAGGAAGGCAAAATCAAAGTGACATTGAGTAACTTACACATTAAGCTTTGATGCAGAAATGTATTGTTTGAAAATATTTGGTGTGCAGCAGGTCTGTCAATTAGAGCTAATTATTTTTCTCTGATCAGGAAGAATGCAATCTTGTTTTAGGCAGGTTTCTTTGAAATGTACGTCTTTTATATAACTTCATTATAGGAAAATATTTCTTCCAAATTACTTTTTTTCTGGGCTGCTTAGCTATTGACTCAAATTGTCTGTGTTGAGTAGTTCTCTCTGCTTTGATAATTAACTTTTGATCATTACTGAATTTAGCAGCTCTAGTCAGATGCGTTCATATCCATCCTCCTCAACTATTTCAGTGTTCATCGCCTTTAATCTTTGAACAAAATGATCTCATTGAGCCTCCATCAGCCTCGCTACTCAGTTAATAATTCCTGTTTCTCATCTTCATGACTGAGTTTGATTTGTTTTAGACTTGATGAGAGCTTTTGATTATTAATTTAAGATATTTCAAAGACAAACATGTTTTAAGAGTTATTTTTTTATCTTCTATTCCTAGGCCTTTACAAATAAGAAACTGGCTTTAACTCCACAATGATTCCTAAAATTCATGTATTAAAAGTACTATCTAGAAACAGAGCAGGTAGGAGGTCCCTGAACCATGATACATGTGCCCTGAGTGGGAGATGATGCTGCAAAAGATTGGAATGAAATTGGACTGGTATAATGTAATATTCAATGGGTGTTAGGAGAATTACATCATGGGACCTTTGCTAATTTTGAGCTTGAAAACATGCATTAAAATAATTTAGGATGATTAGAAAATGGAAGCCAGAGTGAACTAGACAATCATTCCACTTTAATTTGTAATTTCTTTCTGATTTTTTTTTTTACAATTATGGCCTTTCCATAATTGTGCCTCTGCTCTCTAAGACCTTATTTCAACAGCTGACTCTGGTGTTGAATAAGAAGGATGAAGATGAAGAATACATGAAAAGCAGTAACACACAGAGGATCATCCATCCAAGAGTATTTGCCCAGGGATGTTCTCCCCTGACTTTTATAACTGTGAATGACTCCTACCTCTTATGTTGCATTACACCTGATTTTGGCGCTAGTTGTTTTAGCATTAGTTCAAGAACCACCTGCACTATGCTTTACTTGATCTGCAGTGTGGATATACCCATAAACTTCTATTGTTAGCAGGTATTTTACTATTACACAGAAGATTAAAGATGGCCATAAGCACAAACTGCTTCCAGACTGTGCACAAGGACCGCAAAATGTGAAAAATGATGCTTTTCTTTGTCACTATCAATTACCAGACTGGCGTTTGGATAGAAAGAACCAGAAAAAGAACTCCAGTCAGCACAGCTTTTCTACATCACAAAGACCTGAGGAGAATGAACTGGCGAGAGGCTGGCTTAAACATATCAAAGTAAAATAACTGGCATCTGCAGAAGGCAAATAAGATTTTTGGTCAGATGTTACAGGGGAAGTGTCTGCTATCCAAAAATATGTATTTTCCATTGCATAACTGAAAATCCAGGATTTTCAGGAAACAGTATTTGATTTTAAGAAAGTGAGATTAGATAAAAAGCATTTTTTAAGAATGCCTCCTCACCCTCTTGATTCAGAAGCACTGATCAGCCACCTAAGAAGGCAATTGCTGAGCCTCAAAGAGTCTCTTAGGATGACACAGATGGCACTTCTTGCCATTGAACATGTTGGCAGAAGAAGGAAGGCTTTAACTTTTTCCATGAGCTGCTGCAAATCTAATTTAGGTTTATCTCCCAGTTTCTAACCAGCTCTGTATGCCTGGGTGAGCAGCTAAGTGACTCAACACAAGTAAGTTTACAACCCACCACGCTGTTCCTCTGTCCTGTAGGTATAGAAGAGAC